TTGAGTTGATGGTTAAAAATAGGAGATGTTCCTAACCTCATCTATTTCTGGTCTCCTTGCTGTAATTAGCTGATATTCACCAATTTTGCCATCTGATTTATAATCGATCTATAATGAGGTGATAGACTTACGGCTAGCGAGTCACTCCACTTACCCGCACATCCGTAAAGCCAGCTGGTTCAAGACCCGTCATATACCGCATAGGATCCCACTGAGATTCTTCAAGTAATCCCCAACGCGACAAATTCTTCAATCTTAACACAATTCTACTGAAACTGTGAGCCCAACGTTCCCCAAATCAAACAACAAACCTATTGAATTGCATTCCACAAACCATCGTCCCTCCAGGTCTCAATACCCGCCAAAGTTCCCTACATACATCGTTTATAACATCTTGATGAATGAAGTAAAAGAAATCTACATGGAAAATGTGGTTGAAAACTCCAGAAGGATACGGTAAATTACGCAGATCTGGGGCCTAGAACAGAATCTATTAATTTAAAAAAAATCTGACAAGAGGGAAGTGAACTGACATGATCAAGCCTAATCCTCCCCGTCTCAGCTATTTCTAGGGCAAATCGATGCAAAACACAATCTTGCATATACGGCGATCTATCAATTCCAAATATCTGCAAAACACATAAGGTATTTCATGAATCAATTAGTAAGACTGGAAATGTAAAATTCAAAAGTCTTTAAAAACTCCACATGATATTAGTAGAAAAGACTTGCTGAGCGCAGATTATTGAAATGACTCACCACACCTTTGCCTTCAGCTACTTTATCAAAAGAGTATTGAATCGCATTGCCGCGACCATATCCCAGCTCTAGTACGTTGTCATCTTAAGTTCAAAACTTTTAATACAGAATGTGGTAGAAGTATGCTCCTCTTCTTGTGAGCACTCATAATATGCTTCAGTATCAAAACTCCTCTTCACCACAACGAGAAAAGCTTCTGAGCATTCTGGTCATTCCTTAACAAATCATCAGATCATAGAACTGTTGTGTTGTAAGGTAACAATATTACAAAAGATGTAGAGAACCCCCAAAAATACACTCTCTGAATATCCTCCTTTCATTCAAATTTGGGTTATTTACGAGACGAGAGGTGCTTCAGCTGCGACAAATAGTCGATGACTTAATTTTACGGCAAAATACTTTTCTCTCAAAATTATTAGCATCTGCGCAAAAAAATCGTTGAAAGCAGCTGGTTTTCCACCGGAAGTTCTCAGTAAAGATAGAGATGTAAAAAGAGAGGTAAAAATTGATAACTGTCGATCACAAGTGTCTATTGTCCCTCGCATCTGTGTGAGCTACCCCCACATAAAGCTTCTACGAATAAGGCGATAACCAGCAATGTTCACTACTCGATGTGCGGTCTATGCCCTAAACGGAGTCAAGATTAGCAAAATGAGAGTAGGGCTTCGGCAATACAGTGGCCAGGGCAAAGTTTATGAATCACGTTCAGACCTCTAAGGAGAACGAACAGCATTTAAATATTAGGTTAAATACCTTTCAGCAATGAATGTACGGCTCATCACAGTACT